AATCAGGTGAAGCTGCCCGGACCCGCTCAGGACAAACCCAATGTCTATGACTTCGGCACTACTTATGAGGAGATGTACAAAGACCTGCTCTCCAAAGATAAAAACCTGTAATTACTATGAGTTGTCTTCTTGTGAACTCTTAAACCAATTGTCTTGACATCAGATATACTCAGAACGGAATCCTTCATATGTTGGACCGGAACCGACGGATCAAGTCGTGTCCCGAGAGGTTTCAGAACTGTTACGAACAGTTCGATGTAGTCTTCACTGTGGAGGAGAGGGTTTACGATCAGGTGGTTGAAGGTGTGTATTGCAGACTCTGTTGATGTGACCATATGTTGATAATGACATCATTGTGTCAGAGCTGTCACTGCGAACCCCAGTCGACAACACGACGGCTCACATAATCAATATCGACGTCCAGGACAACCACGAAGAGGCCACTATCGGGGCGTTCCTTATCTGCGAAATGGCTCTAATGATGGCTCAGTCCTCAGACCTCGACAATGATATCGACGAACTTCTGCAAGAGTTTGAGAATAAGGCCGAAAGACCGCTTCTTCATACAATTGCCTTTCAGTAGACTTTTACGTTAAATAAGTATTTATTTATTGTAATAATTAAAACATTTTTATATTTTTCTTAATATAAAATTTAGTGAATCTATTGATCCAAATGAGCGTAAACTCGTCTCAATTTTTCTTTTTTGTTTCGATTGTTATGTTTCTTCCATGGCTTAGATGTGATGCAAGTGCTGGACGTTGTGTCCGCTTCTGACATACCTGTGCCCTGCCTTTGAGAATACCCAGAGACCGAAACGACACCTTTGGTGTGAACGGTGCCATAGTTTGTGTGGAAATAAGAGTTATTGAAATCTTTTTGCGTGATGTGAGAGCTCTCGAGGATTCGTTTGAGCGCTTCAGACATCGGAATATTTGTTTGATTAGAGTTTTGTGGAAATTCGTGAAACGATTTTTGGTCACCATTTGGAGGACAATAACAATACAGAAGTTTTCCACAAACAAAGTCCTTCAGTATATAACGCGCTGACCGACAGTTGTCTGGAATTCCTCTTTGAGTCATAAAACCTCTGGAAAAGCCATAAGTTGTGAGCAGTTCTTCTGGAGTCGCGAACCGATTTTGATCTTCAAATTCTGTCGGTTGTGGTAATGAAATCGTATAATGAGTTTCAAACACATGTCTTGGGATTCGACTCGTGAGGATAGCAGTGGGAGGAAGTGGATCCTTGAGGTGATCAATAGGCAGAATACCGTTCACTATCATCTCTGCTTTACTCGATACTATGTTCGGGAATACAAGTCCCGGACAATCGCATAGTATGAGCTCATTGTCCACAACCAAAGTCTGAAAGTGTTTCGTCTTTCCCGGAGTCGCAGACACCGAAACTTTCTTGGATTTCATGATTGCGTTAATAGTCGACGATTTGCCCACATTTGGATACCCAACCAGACCTATGGTTATCGGGTCCGAGGAGTTCTCGCTCTTCATCGACTTAAACAAATTGATTAACTGCTGTCGACTCAAGAGTTTACTTGAATTGTGTGTCGAATCCGACTCTTCATCGACGGCTAAGTCGTTGTCGTCATCGCATTCGAGCTGTTGTTTGGCGGAGAAGAATAGGGCTCTCATTGCCATCGAATCGAAATGTTTGGCCCAAACGTGGCGTTGAGTTGGTGTCAGAAAATCGGATTTATTCATCAAAATCACGTTAACTTTGCTTTCATTCACTTCTTTGACGTATTTCTGTAAGTCTTCGGACAGAAAGAGCAGAGGATTGCGAGCGTCCAGTATTTGGACGCAAACATCACTCCTCTCGACGACTCTCCACAACTGTCGCCAAAACTCTATATTCTTCTCGAAAGGAGTCATAACTATGTCTTCATTCTCCTGGATGTGCGACAAATGTCTTCTCCACTCTAAATACAAATCGTATTCCAATTGATTCAGTTCTTCAGGTGTCGTCGACTCATCCCATTGGGGACGCCTTGGGATCAGTAGAGCCTCCTTATTGTCCGACACTTTTATGTCAACACTTCTATGGTTTGGATCAACGATTTGGATGTCTTCTCGCTCTACTCGTCATACAAATTATAGTTAAGATAATTAAGAGACCATTCAATGTATAGATGAGTCAAACCTGCGGTGAACTCAACGTTTGCCATCTGAGCGCTGGTCAGGAACTCCTCGAGAGTTGTCGTCTCCGTAACACTAATCGTATTCTTCGATTCCTCCAAATCCAAGACATGTCTCTATAAAACAGCAAATGATTACAACTTTGCCATCAATTCAATGATTATTACATTTGTTTTATACAAATGTTTTGACAAATTCTTCTTCCGCTCTTTAATGAGATTTCTGCCCAAAGAAGACACGGAATCCTTCTTTTTGCCCATCAGTTGATCAGTTGGTCTCAAAGAGTGATAATTAGGTGACTAAATGGTCTGAAACTGTAATGAATGGTCTGATTGAATGAATGAAACGTTTTTCAAAGTGTGAAACAACATGGTTTCAAAACAACAACACATGACTTATGCGACGCTTATATGCCTTTTCATATGAGAGCGAGCATTGCAATCAATCCATTTGTCGCATCAAAAGGACTTAAATACAGTCCTAAACTATACTTTTAAAACTTTTAAAACTATGGGCTCGAACTCCAGTGTTGTTTTAATAGCGAAATACATGGCTTTTCTTATTGCGTTTTGTTGCTTTAAAAGGTCTTATAACGTAAAATATTGTGCATGCCTAATTATTATTATAAATAAATTTATACAGTGTTTTGTAATCTAATTTGAGTTATTAATTTAATAATTGTTACATGGTTTAGCACCAGTAGCAAATTCATTTAAATATATAGTGCTATACAGTAATCAATTATATAATGATTATTGAATGTATAATCTACTAAATGGACTCTCAATGCAATACAGAATACGGTATACAATACTTTTCTATACATATTATGCAAGCAATGAAAATCACAAATTGTGCCAGTTCATATTATGATAATTCATTACATTATTATTAAAAATTATTGATGCTAATTACCAGATTAAACCAGAATGAATAAAAAAATCAGTATTTTATAATATGGCTATTTGAATTATAATATAATTTGAATTGAAAACTTGTATATGATTAAACTATTTATTCAATAAGACACTGAACAAATATAACGACCATTCAGTGAGATTGTGGTCAACACTTAAATTCTTATGATATTCTCAAATCCATTTGAATCATATCTTATGGTATGTTTGGTTATTACATCAAAGATATATTCTATTCATTTAATAGTAATTATGAGATCAACTGTCTGTCAAATGAAATTATTTACAAACAAGCAACATTAAATAAAGAATCATGCAATTATTCTTGTTTATCTATTTTCTAAATACTAATGTATTTTTTAGTTATATACTGTAGTCCCATATTATATAACTGTTGTATTAACTTCTTATTATTTTCAACAATTATATAAAAGTGATAATTTTACATAAAAATGATACAGGTATCTTTCAATCACACATAACTATTATACTTTTAAAATTTTCTAAGCCTTGGATACAAAACTTTTTCCATAATAATATTTGAATTACAATTTTTGAGTATTTTTGAGTATTTACAATAGATATTGAATACTTACATATAAAATTATTGTTATCAGTTGTTATTTATCTTAACAGTGCTAACTAGTAAGTCTAATTAATTATCAATTTAATTGTATACTGTTCTATATCCTCTAATAAGAGATATCTAGGTCATGTTCAAAAGAATAAGTTATATTTTTAAACTTATAACAAATATTATTTAAATTCCATTTATAAGAGCTTTAAGTGATTTAAATAATTTTAAATCAATTTTAGAATATCGTAATTAAATATTAAAGTTTAGGAATACATTGCGCTACTTAACTTTACCTGTACAATACCATATAATATTTTATTGATAATAATAATAATACTAACTCTAGTCGTGGAAAATTTGCCGAATGTCTGAAAATCCGTGAGATATGATAATATTATGATACTGTACTACAGTACTACTGTATATATGGAGTTTTACTTAATTCCACCTGGGTATAATATTTACTTGAATACCGGATCAATTTATCATATATAATATTTGGATCTTAAATTCTTTATTTAATTCAATTCCAATTGAAACAATAAAATATTGCATTCATATTCTTTATTGAATATAATTAATAAAATGTTTTTAAAAGTTTTAGTAATTGTTTTGATTATAGAAACGACTTATAGTTTAGAGTTTGGGAAACTCATAATAAATGACAAACAAAGCAAAAATGATATCGAATTGAAAGCAAACCATAAAACAAAAGATGAAGAAGTATTGGTCACAACCTTCTTGAAGACTGACATCTCGAGTGTCAACCGAATCGATAAAAGCGCTAAAATAGTGTTCAGTCGCGACCCTCGAGGCGAACACAATTACGGTGTCGTCAATGAGTTGGCGAACGACCAAAAATATAATTGTTGAAAATAATAAGAAGTTAATACAACAGTTATATAATATGGGACTACAGTATATAACTAAAAAATACATTAGTATTTAGAAAATAGATAAACAAGAATAATTGCATGATTCTTTATTGAATGTTGCTTGTTTGTAAATAATTTAATTTGACAGACAGTTGATCTCATAATTACTATTAAATGAATAGAATATATGTTTTATGTAATAAACAAACATACCATAAGACATCATTCAAATGGATTTGAGAATATCATCAGAATTTAAGTGTTGACCACAATCTCACTGAATGATCGTTATATTTGTTCAGTGTCATTTATTCAATAAATAGTTTAATCATATACAAGTTTTCAATTGAAATTATATTATAATTCAAATAGCCATATTATAAAATACTGATTTTTTATTAATTCTGGTTTAATCTGGTAATTAGCATGAATAATTTTTAATAATAATGTAATGAATTATAATAATATGAATTGGCATAATTTGTCATTTTCATTGCTTGCATAATATGTATAGAAAAGTATTGTATACCGTATTCTGTATTGCATTAAGAATCCATTCAGTAGATTATACATTCAATAATCATTATATAATTGATTACTGTATAGCACTATATATTTAAATGAATTTGCTACTGGTGCTAAACCATGTAACAATTATTAAATTAATAAATGAAATTAGATTACAAAACACTGTATAAATTTATTTATAATAATATTTTGCACAATATTTTACGTTATAAGACCTTTTAAAGCAACAAAACGCAATAAGAAAAGCCATGTATTTCGCTATGAAAACAACACTGGAGTTCGAACCCATAGTTTTAAAAGTTTTAAAAGTATAGTTTAGGACTGTATTTAAGCCCTTTTGATGCGACAAATGGATTGATTGAAATGCTAACTCCCATATGAAAAGGCATATAAGCGTCGCATAAGTCATGTGTTGTTGTTTTGAAACCATGTTGTTTCACACTTTGAAAAACGTTTCATTCATTCAATCAGACCATTCATTACAGTTTGAGACCATTTAGTCACCTAATTATCACTCTTTGAGACCAACTGATCAACTGATGGGCAAAAAGAAGGATTCCGTGTCTTCTTTGGGCAGAAATCTCATTAAAGAGCGAAAGAAGAATTTGTCAAAACATTTGTATAAAACAAATGTAATAATCATTGAATTGATGGCAAAGTTGTAATCATTTGCTGTTTTATAGAGACATGTCTTGGATTTGGAGGAATCGAAGAATACGATTA